AAGAAGTATTTTTTATATAATGTCTTAATATGATGGGACAATTATTTTTAATGCTATAAAACCGAACGTACCTTAAAGTAAAACTTTAATGGTTATGATGTTATATTCATACCAAAAATAAAAGTTGCTTCAATATATAACTCATTATTAGTTTCTTCGTTACTTATTTGCTTAAAATAAAAATGATTGAATTACACTATTTTTTTAATCTTCTAATAATATTGTACAATGTAATGCTAAAGTCACGTAATATTGTTTGATTAATTAACTCTTTATACTTCGTAAGTTGCATAAATTAGTATGTATTTTACTAATTTACTATTATATTATATTTATACATAATATTACAAAAATATAGTAATTGGGTCATACCAGTTTCTTGGAAATAATTAAGATGAGGAGGAACAATTGAAGACATTAGCATTCGACGGTTTGATTCTTGGGCATGGTTTAGTAACTTGCTTACCTCTTCTCTTTGCTTGAAATTTTGTCCACTAAAAAAAAAAAAAAAGCGAAAGGGGAAGACCAATTCAAGAAACTACAAAACATCTATAGACCATATAGCGCCGCCAAACACCGCAGCTAAATAGCCAACTCTAGAGAACGCTCTCCTTGTACTTTTATAGTAACGTTTGAGTTGTGCCAGGCTGGCCGGCTGGATGCTGCAGCCTGCAGGCGTGCACACAATGGTGATTATTATGATTTGTACTTTGTATAAGTCTTGCAACTCCTATTTTGGATTGTACTCGATGATTCTAATTCAATATGCTGATCTAACATTTAATGTGGTGTCTTGTGTATATGTATAATGTAGATAAAGAGTGGTCTCTCGACTAGTACTTGGAGTGGGGTTAAAGCACCCCCTCTTCCCATTCGATTTGTTATTTTTATTTTTTTTTTATAAAAGATGCAGTTAGCATTAATTCTCTTCATTACTCTTCTTGTCTTAGTGTACATATGTTAGTACTTGTTAATTAAAGAGAACCATTATTGTCATCAAGAAACTTGTTAAGGCTATTGTTATGCAAGAAAACTTTTCTTTTTTTTCTTTAATTTCTTTTCACCCACTTAAAAAGTATGAAAATGTGTGTTTTTAATTTTTAATTTTTAATTTTTAATTTTTAATCACTTAAAAAATTTAATGATATAAATAATTCAATAATAAAAATCTTTTATTAAAATTAAAATTAAAATATATAAATTCGAGTCATATAACATGTAAATAAAATGAATTATAAGATAAAAAATAATTATTCAACACTAAATGATCTAATGATCACTCCTTTAATGAAAAGTGTTAGAACGTAAAATCCTAAGTTTAATATTCAGACACTACTTTTTCATCTTTAAAAATTCTCCTAAGTTAAACAAAAAAAGATAAAAAATAATTATTTTTTTATACAATTCAAAATTAATAAAAAAAAACCATTCGAGACATCTCTCATATAGAGCTTGAAGCAACTTGCTTTAATGATTCCCTAATTACGTTCGGCCGATCAAATTTAATTA